TGAGACAAACCAGGCATTTAATGGCATATGATGGGTCATTTATTTGGTAAAATAGACTACTGCAGTGCCCATATGTGGGGCTGCCCTTGGAAACAGTCTGGAAACTTCAGTTGGTGCAGAACAGGGCAGCCCTGGGATTGGGACAGGTCGATATGCTCACATAAGCCCTGTTCTTTATCAACTACACTGGCTACCAGTGGAAGTCTGAGCCCACCTCAAGGTGCTCACTTATAAAGCCCTTAAGGGCTTAGGACCTGAATATCTTAAGGAACGCCTCTTCCCATATATACCTACCCAGACCCTACGATCTTCAACCAAGGTCCTTCTCCAAGAGCCACCTTTAAGAGCCACACACCTTCAGTAGTGGCTCCCCAGTTACGAAACCAGCTCTCCGGGGAGGTATGCCTTGTAGAAACCCTATATATTTTGGTGCTTGGTCAGAATCTTTTATTTTGCCTCTATTTAACTGTTAATTAGAGGTGTGATTTTATACTATTTTTTTACAATGGTTCAATATGCTATTATTTTATTCTTATGATTGTTAAGTTTTTGGTTTTTGTGTATTTTTGTATGAATTTTATGTATAATCGTTACATTGTTTTACATGCTTATTACCATTTGTAAACTGCCATGAGAGCAATGTGCTGAGAGGACAGTGTAAAAATTTTTTAAATTAATGTCAGCTATTTTGAACAGGTCTAGTGCTGAATTTGTTTATTGAAATGGTTTTTTAGTTGTTCAAATTATTTTAAATTATGTATGTCAAACATGTTGTCCTATGGTTTATTATAATTCTGTATCTGTGCATTGTAATTTTTTGAATTGTAGTGTGGGCTAGTGGTTAGAGGGCTGGACTGAAACTTGGAAAATCAGACCAAGTCTCCACTCCTGTTTTATCTTCACAACACCCCTGTGAAGTGGGTTGGCTGAGAGTCAGTAACTGGCCCAGAGTTGTCAAGGGAGCGTCGTGGCCGAGTGGCAGTTAGAATCTGGATCTCCTGAGTCCCAGTCCAGCACGCTTAACCACTAAGCTATGGGAGCGCCAAGTATTAGTAACTATGCCTTAGACACCTTTGAGCCTTGGAGAATGGGGGGTGAATATGCATTAGCGGGGAAACCACCAGATAATTGGTTGGCAAAAGGGGTAGCACTCGGAGGAGAGGGCATGTCCTCCTGGCATCCTGGAGATGGGCACCTCAAGTGGGTTGGCTTGAGCCTGAGGTTCAACACCACCACTCTGGAATTGACAGTCCTGGGTTACATGGTCATATATTCTGATCTAGAATAAAACAGATTTCTCCGATTCTATTCATCCCAGTGTGGATTGATTGGTGTTACACAAAAGTGCGTTGTTTGCTTGGAATGCATCTATCGATTTCTATCAATGGATGCATTCCGATCTATCTTGGAATGCATCTATCTGTCGGTGGCTGGCTCCTATCATATGAGCTTACCCTTCAAAGGTGCCACACACACATAGTGATGCCTAAACAAGCCATGTTACACAATTCCCAGTGGCCTCCCTTTGCTGGCAGGAGAGGGCAGCCCAAGGGTGCCATTCTCTTGGGACAGTCCAGAATGCGGGTTGCAGAGTGCACAATCAGAATGTTCCCCCAAGTAAAAAAATGCAGAGCTTCAGAAAAGCTTGCAGTCTGAGGAGAAGCATTTTTGCAGAACACACAGGAGGTGCTCTAGCCAAGGTCATAGTGGCTGTTCTTGCCATGGCAGCCATTTTGTGAGAGCATTCCCCCCCCCCCCCCGCTCTCTCAAACTCCAAATGTGTCCACTAATTAAAAGGATTGGGGACCATGAACTAGCAATGACCAAGAGCTCTCCGGAGTTGACAGCTGTATTTCACCTTTGAGCAATGGCCGGTCCCCAAGGGATTGCTTTCTAACCCCACCTTCTCTTTACGTGGCTAATTTTTCAACAGCTCTGAAAATGCCTTTATGTGGCATTCATCTGATACATGGCACACAAGAACCTTCCTGTCTAGAATTTGCTCTCTGCCACCTGTGGATGTTTTGTGAAGGTTTTAAAGCGTCTTTCTTTTCTTACGTTTTTGCACTTCACTCCATTTGCCAGGGTGAGCCTCTGCAGTTCTTGATTCCTGACTTAGGCCATGTATGTTCTACTGCTGCTTTCAAAAAAATAAAATACCCCAAATGAACCAACATGCAGCCCAATCTAATGTATGTCTCCTCAAAAAACAAGTTACGCTGGGTTCAGTGGGGTTTTCTCCCATTGTGTGCCTTCAGCAGTTCTTCCCCAGCCTATTATCCTCCAAATGTTTTGGCCTACTGCTTCCATCAGCCCCAGCCAGCATCGCTAATGGGAAGGGATGATGGACGTCATAGTCTAAAACATCCAGAAGGTGCTAGGGCATGGAAGGTTGGTGTGTAACATTGCAGTCTTAAAGTCAGTTTGCCTAACTCCCTGATCTTGATGTAACCCCACTGGGTCAGTAGCAGTGTGCATAAGTAGCATTCGGCAGCACAAGTGAACAAATTTAACTTGAGCAGATCCTGTTGTGTTCATGTTAGTACAAGTTGTGGAAGAAAGAACTGAGATTGGATTTTATTCTATTTCTTTTAGTACTTTAAATTGGCTATAGTTATGATTGGAATGGAGGTACTGGAGTCTGCAGGGGGTTTAACCTTTTCTAACTGCAGTATTCTTTCTGGGCTAAATCTCCTCCCAACCATCAGAATTAACTCCCCTGAAAGAATGACAGAGATACCTCTGTTGTGCCTTTCTCCCCCACCCATGGCTTTCAGTTCTGGTCATGTTCATTTTGTCTCTCAGTCCCTAAATTTGAAAGGTTTGTTCGTTGTGTGCTGGGATGTGGAAGTTAACCGGTCCTTAAGAACAAGCATGAAGGGCAACGCTTTAGGAAAAAGTAATAGGCCATCTTACTCTCCTAATGTTAGCAGCGTGTAGGACCAGGATGAACATTTTAAAGTCAAATAGAAAAAAGGGGACCTCTTCTATCTTACAGTTTCTGCTGCAGACTTTCTTAAGCTGCTGTTCTTTAGATGTACTGGCTAAGGATGACAGGGCACAGCGATTGAGAGGCACATCTGGGAAAGCCTGACTGGTGGAAATAGGAAGCTGCCTTACCCTGCGTCAGACCAGATCCTCCTGAGCCTTATATGGCTTGGTTTTCAGATCCCTTGGCAACACGGTCACCATCTTCTGTGTGTGTCCCAGTGGGTCAAGATGAGGAGCCCAGAAGTGGGTGCAATGGATAGCATCCAGCTGTGCATTCTGCGAGCGCAACTGATGCTGTCCGTGGAGCAACTAGGTTTTGAACGGAGGTTTTGCCACGGAGAAGAATCCAGCCAAATTTGCATTTGAGCACCCATGATGATGCAAGCATTTGGGCAGTCAGTTGCACATAAGTTGGTGCAGTCCTGTGCAGCAGACATGTTTGTCAGAGCGCCACTAATGCAACTGAATTTGTGGAATGACATTGCTAGAAACAACCCCTTGTGCCAGATGTGGCCAAACCAATGTGCAATAGAGTAGAAATGTGACTTAACGCAACTTAGAGTTGCTTTAGCCTTTTGAGCAGCTGCATCCTCCTCCTAGCTCTTGTTTAACTTGTTCTTTGTGGTTTCAAAACAACCCAGTGATTTTAAAGAAGTTAAATGTAAGCAGTGCGACACACAGCAAATTCGAGGATAGTTGAAGTGATAACAAGGGCAGTCAGAACAAAGCTGGCATCCGTGCTGAAAGTTTTTAATTACTTGGTTTGTAATTGGAGTCAGTAGGCCATATAATCTCATTGAAGGGTACACTGGAGAGATACTGCAAGGGAGACTAATCTAATGGTAAACGCTGCTTCACACCTTTGGCTTAGCATGTTATATTTACTTTCATTACGGTTTTTGTGAATTTGGGCTTTTCGCTTTAGAACTGAGGCAAATAGTGTTAAGAACACCATTATGGCTGTGGTGTATCTTAGCAGGCTGTGCACCTGGAAATGTACCAAGAATATGTGTCTAAAGCCAGTGGTATCCTTTGAAGGTTGAATGGGCAGTGGGATTTAACCCCAGATATCAGATTTAAGCTTGTTTATGTCTTTTGAAGGAGCGGTTGGAACATGGGAGATCTGGATCTGAATCTCATCTCTGCCATAGCCCCCTTGGCACTGGTTAAATTGCTCTGCTTCCATTTCCCTCCTTTAGCAAGGGAATAATAACCAAGGTTGTGGGAGGGAATTAAAGCAATACCCGGTACCCAAAGTCATTGCATTATTGCTTAAAAGGGACTCTGTATGCAAATTAATAACATAATGTTTGAATGTTTGCTTCTTCTATATTCACCTGGTATCAGTGGTGGGGTAGAGGGACAAAGATCAGTAAAGTCTTTAGTTTTCTCCTAAAACGTGGAACAAATTTGTTGGCCTCTATTTTTGTTTTGGAAAGTTTAAATTCTTAACCAGTGTCGAATGGCATGTTCTTGCATATTTGAAATTGTATTGTCTAGTTTTATGATAGAATAACTAATGCAAAAAATGGAATTTATACTCCTTTTCATGAGCCTCTCCATGCTTTTAACACCTCGGAGGTGAGTAAATTCAAACATTTTGTTCAGGTAATGCAGTTCTCTTGCAGAACTACAGCGCCTGTATCACTGCAGGTGACAAGAATTACACATCAACAAACCGCACCCATCCCTACTCCTGCCACCAGGGCCAGCCCTACTGTAAGGCAAAGCGAGGAGGCTGCCTCAGGGCACCAATTTTGGATGCCATGAAATGGCAGCTGCTGGATATTTAATTTTTTATTCCTGCCAGGAAGATGCACTTATGGATCTTATGCCAGAACAACCTGACCAACCTTACATAATATGCATATTGATTGCACTGAGATTTGGGCAATATTTCCTGCTCAGCCTCAGGCTTCCAAAAGTCTTGGGTCAGCCGTGCTTGTCACAGCATCTGATCACAGTTCATGGCTGTCCTCTCATTTCTCTGCTTATTTTTTCCCATGCAGAAATTTATTGAATTTGAAGATGCACTGGAACAGGAGAAGAAAGAACTGCAGATACAGGTTGAGCATCTTGAATTTCAAACACGACAACTGGAGCTGAAGACCAAAAACTATGCAGACCAGAGTAAGTGGGAAAGCCATGTGCCTCCTGAAGGGAAATTCCTGTGTGAATCAGGATAGGGGTATGTGCATCCGAAAATGTCCAGGAATTCTAGAGAGTGCTGTACTCTTTTACTTTTGTTTGGTAAATAGTAAAGTGTGTGTGTGTAACACTTGGTTTGATTTTATTTTTGGTCCTAATCAGCCATCTCCAACCTGGTTCCTTCCAGATGTTGTGAGTTGCAATTCCCAGGTTTTCTGACCATTGGTCATGTTGGCTGGGGTTGATCGGAATTGATATCCAAGACAATTGGAGAGCACCTGTTTGTCTTGAGATACTCAAGAGGAAAAAGAATTAAAGCACACTTACTGTGTAGTCCTGTGACCAGCATCCTTGATGCACCTAAGCCTCCAAACCCATGGATGTATGTGCATCCTATGTCCAAGGTGAGACACATCTCACACTGGATATTTTCTCTAGATGGCTGTTTCAGCTGTCTAGCTTAACTGCTGGTGCAGGAAGGAAGCTGGATTTTGATTGGAACTGGCATAATTCCATGGCCCCAGCCTTCCCCTTCCAGTGACCCCAGCACACCCGTTTTTCCTGCCTCCAAAGCCCTCTTGCAACCTATAGGAAGCAGCTGGTATGCATCTTTATGCACCAGCTGCAACTGGGGCAGGGAGGGGAGTTGTCCATTGGAGTCCTGCGACTTCAGAGATGAAATGCTGAAGAATCCTGTGGCCTCCCAGACAATGTCAGTCTGCCATAGGATTGTACCCTTAATATGATTTCATGAAGTGCTGTATCATATAGACTTCTTATTGGAATATTTGCAAAAATGTAAAGGCAATTTGATATACTGGTTTAAATGTCAGAAATAAAAACTACAGTACTGAAAACTGTTGACGATCTAATACATGTTGGGTGTTGTGAACTGTTCATAAAGTGCTGATCCCATATATCTAAATTTGGAAACTGCAAAGCTTGCCTAATACTGTGTTTGCTTTTGGCATCCATTCATTATTACTAATGAACTTAAGAAATGGATTCTGATCCACTGGAAATTTAAGCATTGGCAAAGTATCTGCCCTGCATCTCTCCATGTTCATAAGTTGGCTGTCAGATTGAACAAGTTGTGTTGAATTTGTTGGGGCTTACCAGTCTGTATAATTCATTGATGGCTGAGCATCTGTACCTCTAATAGGCTTTGGTGGTCCAATGAATAAACCTGTGTCTCAGCTATGATTTAGCCTTTTCAGAATATCTTGGGGACAGTATCCCAAGATGTAATGGGTGAAGAGGGCCCCCTCAGAAGCTGTCTTGTATCAAGTCAGCTAGCTCGTCCATCTGTCCCAGTATTGCCTCTTCTGGCCAGCAGCATCTGTCCAGGGTTTCTGGTCTGGAGGATGGACCATAGCACAGGTGCCGACCATGTATCTTGCATGCAAATGGTGCCAGGCTCCGTTCCTGGCAGCTGTAGGTAAGTGTGAAAAAGGCAGCTTCATGAAACTCTGCAGGGACAGTGCGGTGCTAGATAGACCAAGGGTCTCCATGAGATTACTTCCTATGTTCCGGGCAGGGTTTCTGCTCCTCCTAACTAAATGAAACAGCTCCTCAACCACCAGTTGAGGCCCGTACCTGCATATGAGAAAGGATGGTCCAGTAAAAGAATAGGATTCAGTTCTGAGTAGATGGATGAAGGACTAAGCTCTACTGAAGGGCGGGGGGGATCAGATGCCCTCCAGATATCTAGGACTGTAACTACATTTGCACCAGCCTATCAACGTGGGTAATGGAATTGTGGGAATTGTAGTTCAGAATATCTGGATGGTACCGAGTTTCTGCTAATTCCATTCCATTCTTGATGGACCAAGTATTTGACTGTGTATGAAGCAATTTCCTACTAGAGATGTGAAGACCAGGGAAAAAAATTGGGGATTTTTGTTACAGAAATAACCCCGCTCCCCATTTTTTCTGGGGGGACGAGGAGGTAATTGTAGTTAATTGAAGGGCTTCTGGACAGAATTTCACCAATCCAAGGCATTGTGTGGATAATTTCTGGTAAGAAAAGATGAAAGAAGGAGAGTAAAAACACAGGAGGGATGCAAACCGAAGTGGAAAAAAACACCACTTGGGGGGGAAAAACACCATGAATGGGGCAGGGCAATTGCATAATAAAAACACCCTCAGGTTAATTAATCCGTGGTAAAAGGGATCAATTTGGCAATTATGTTCTTATTTCTTATTGGAGATTTTTTTAGGGGGAGAGCATTGCTTTCCTTCTGGAATTGATAGCTCAATTTCTCTTTCTCCTCCCCACCCATTCCTATTTCTCCCACTCCCTCAATGAACAGTTTCCAGATTGGAGGAGCGGGAATCAGAAATGAAGAAAGAGTACAATGCCCTTCACCAGCGCCACACAGAGGTATCTCGTCATCTTTTCTGTGTGTAAAGCGTGGACGTCAACCTTGCGCAACCTCCAGATGTGTTGCACTACAATGCCCAGCATGCCTAGCCAGCATGACGGATGAGCATTGTAGTACAACCAACCTGGAGGGGGCCAGGTACAGGTTGGGGAAGGCTGCTGTTTATGCAAGTCTGGAGACAGCCTGAAGAATGCCACATTTGTGATTTTTTTGATGCCTCAGAAGATGCCTCAGTCACTTTCGTATTCCGATACAGATGTGAATCTTCGTGTCATCAAGGCACATAAATGCTTGAGAGCAGGAATTAGTTTCTTGATACCTGCACTTTGGACGAAATATCTATCAATCTGTCTTATCGAAAACATTTTCATGTTCTCCTGAAAAATCCTTGCAGAGAAGCTTACAGTTATGTAGAAGCAGATAGTCCTCACCCTTGGTCTTACTGTCTTGTCTAAAAGGCAGAATGTAAAATAAATTAAGATTGGGAGGGTGGAGAACAAAAAGCACATTCCAGGCGCTAGTTGCTGCTTTTGAGTGGCGTACACATGACACCAAAGAGAGCAGTGCCAGAGCCAGTCCCCTGTCACAGATTCCTAGGAATTGGAATGTGAGGAAGTTCAAGGGGCAGCTCCACATACTTGGAAGGAGCACGTGCTGTGGTATGAAGGAGTGGGGGAACCTGTGGCCCTCTGGATGTTATTGTGTTGGAGGACCACTCCCATCCGCCTCCATCCATCATCCCCGTGACATTTGAAAGGCTGCATATTCTTAAGCCCCGCCATAGGGGAGAGCTACAGTGTTGTTTCGTTCTCCAAAGAAATGGCTTGCTTCAAACAAAAGGGCTAAAAAAGAAAATGATGGGGGTGGTCATTTAAAAGACAGAGATGTCAAAACTCTTTTGGCTTGAGGGCCAAATTCCATTTCAAAGAGGTTCTCAGCTTCCACATCCCACTGGTGGGCAGAGCAGGTGGCAAAAGGCAGAGGGGGCCAACGCCAGGAAGTCACCCAAGAGATGCCTGAGAAAGGAGGGAGAGACCTGGGAAAGGGAGTGTGGGCATTTGGTGAACCTTGAAGCACCAAGTTTGCCCCTGGGCTTGTGGTGCTGCAGCTCTGCTCTAAGGCGCTCTTGGGATCTGGGTTGATGGTAATGTGTTCTCTCTCTCTCTCTCTCTCTCTCTCTCTCTCTCTCTCTCTCTCTCGCTTGCTCTTTTGCAGATGATCCAAACTTACGTGGAACACATTGAGCGATCCAAGATGCAGCAGGTTGCTGGAAATAGCCAAAATGAGAGTGGTTTACCTGGGAGAAGGTAAGGATGCGTCTTGGCTTTGTCCCAGAGAGAATGTAGGTGCTCTCTGCGAACTGTCTGTTGCAGGGCAGCTGGGAATCCAGAGAATTAACCCAGTCTTCCGTCAGCCCTTGTATGTGCTCTCCAAGTGACTGAAAGGAGTACGGATTGGCCTGATGATGGATGAGGGAATTAAGGAGAGACGTTTGGTGCCAATCTGGCTCTAGGGTCCCGTGCCTGTCAGAGAATTGAAAAGGGGTGGGGGAGGGTACAGTTCAAAGCAAGGGAGTGATGGGAAGGACTGCTTCTCCCATCATAGCCTCCCTCCCTCCAGATGTTTCTCTCTGTAATGCAGCAGATCCTGAACCATCACTAGCAGAGGATTACAGGGAAGAATGCAGCAGGCATAAGAAGGATTAAGCACCAACTCCTGCTAGCCTGTTCTCTCCCCCAGATCCCATTTCCCTTTTCTATCATTCTGCAGCTCTTCAGGATCCAGGGCCTGAGTTTCCATTATATACCTGTTTGCTGACTTGGCAGTCCTTGCCTTTGCTCTGTGCCCCACAATGGACCACTGGCCATACTCACTGCTGTAAAAAAGCAGTGGGGAAAGCAAACGATGTGGCATTTCCCACAAAATGAAACAGTGCCAATGGGTTTCAGGCATGTAGGTCCTTCTGCAGGGAAATGCAGTGTGACCAGATCCCATAATGTTCTTGAGTGTCTCAACCTTGCTCTAACATAAAGTTGTTTCCACTTGGGATTCACACACATAGTACCATGTTTCCCCAAAAATAAGACTGGGTCTTATATTAATTTTTGCTCCAAAAGGGCTTAATTTCAGGTGATGTCTTATTTTTTCCTTACGAAAGCTGTAAGATTCTTGCCCCGAGAGCCCTCCACGATTCTTTTCTTGCACTCATCGGAATAGCTCTTTCTTTTTGCACCCATCTTGCATTGCATCCATGCATTAAGTACGTCCATTATAACACGCGATTATTCATGCATTGTGGCTGTACTCTAATTGGTTATTCGGCAATCAGTCTCACATTCGTCTGTTTACATAAGCATTTACCTCTCATCCAAAGGTGGCTGCTTCAGTATTTACAAATACTTAATTATAATGTATATTGCCATTTATTTAAGTATTAAGGTCAATAATATTATTTATTTATATTTAATTATATATTAAGATTATTATTTTATAATTCAATACATCTATCATGTGTTGCAATGGACATACTACCGTATTTCCCCATCCATCTGGCTGACGATCTTAACTGGGGCTTATTTTTGGGGTAGGATTTATATTAATAGCATCCTGAAAAATCATGCTAGGGCTTAATTCCCGGTTAGGTCTTATTTTTGGGGAAACATGGTAGCTTGACTTCTTCTCCCTGGTCCAGTTTAACACAAGAGACTGGAGTTTATAGAGCAGGCATGATTGAATTTGGTCGCACTGAACTTCCCCAAAGAAGGACCTATGTGAGTTCTGAAATATGTCAGAACTGTTCATTTCATTTATCCCATTGGTTTTCTGGCATCCTTTGTGCGGTTTCTCATTTTACTGAGTTCAGATGAATTGGTAGCAGTTCTCTAGACCCATATTTCTTCTGCTGGTGAGTGGGGACCCAACACTAGTTTGCATTAAACTTGATTTAAACTTGGTTGCAGCAGTGGTACCACCACCATCGATTTTGTTTTGTTAAGGATTTAAACGCAAATACAAAAAATGAGAAATAAAAGAAGAAAAGGAGACATTGGAGAAGGGATGGAGATGTCAGAAGAGAATTTTCAGGCAGTACAAATTAAAACATGGAGCATGAAAGACGACACCTAGCAGTTTCATGTTAAATTTTGGAGCTAGAGATGAGACCACTGTCCAGTGCAGCATAATATTTTTAATTTACTGCTTCCCTTAAATCATACTTCCCTAAGCTGTGCCTTCTGGTTGTTTTGGTTTACAACTCCCATCAGTACCACCCAACATGGCCAGTGGTCAGGTGGGGGATGAGATTGGTAGTTCAAAGCATCTGGAAGGATGCTTTTAACAGAAGCTGGGCTTTTTAGTGACCAGCAGAAGGTATTTCTAAATCAAGATTGCCAGAGGCCATGATGTGGCAATAATATTGCTGCTTCTCCTCCTCCCCTGCCTATTGCTTACTCAGTGGGACATAATAAGGCTTATTTATTTATTTATTTATTTATTTATTTATTTATTTATTTATTTTAAAACATTTCTAGGCCACCCCATTCACAAAGAGCCTCGGGGTGGCTTAGAATGATTCCAGCCAGAAAACTTGCCTTCCGCTGGCTAAAGCCAAATGAAGCATTATCCAGTGGATGGGAACAGGATGGGCATGTGATGGACAAAGAGAAATGAAAAGCTGTGTTGGGCCAACTGGTTGTCGAGGGAAGGGAGACGGCAGCACCAGTACCTTCCCCTGGATTGGACAAGTTACCAGTGTTCGCTGAGTCCCTCTTGGTGCTTGTGGGGATTTGCTTCCTAGGAAGAGAGGAGGCTGCACTTGGGCAAACTTCCTTGAAGGAGGGCGGTCTTCTTGCGAGTCTTCTGTGAAGAAGCCACAGCCAGGAGCCTTGTTCCTTCAACCCTGGCTGTGCGTTTTGTGCCTCTGGCTGCACTCTTGCGGCACCTTGTGCTTCTCCCCTCTCCTATCCATGTGGCTTCTTGTGTGTGTTCTTCTGCTTGGCTTCTAGAGAGCCCAGAACATGTTGCACACTTAGTAAGAATGTGTGTGCATGCAGGAGGGAGGGAGGGAGGGAGAGAGAATGCATCTTGCAACTCCCTAGATGATTTGTGGGTGGTGTTGTGTTTTTTTGGTGTTCTTGCAGGAACTGGGCATCGTACATGCTTTGTGACTGGCTTCCACTGATGCCTGTTTGTGTGAACTCATGACACTGCCTGCAATTGTTCCTCCTAGTTTTTGCACTGCTGTAGATGTATGAGCAGGTTCCTTTTTGTACGTAAAGCTGCTTATTGCAGAAAGACGGGTAGTTCTCCTGCATGCGCACAGCCATGGCTCAGAGTGCAATTGTGGAAACCTTCTCCCAGTGGAGACAGTGTAATGTACAAGTCAGGGGAGGCTTCTGCACATCCTGCCCTTCCTATTCATCCCAACCTTGCTGCAGTAAAGAGAGGCGGAAAAGGAAGCCTTCTGGGTGAGCAGAACCAAGTTTCCTAGGGATATTTTAAAAAGCCATATGCAACACCCTTCCTGAAGCTGATGCCTGCCAGCTGTGTTGGACTACAGTTCTCATCATTCCCAGCCAGCATGGGCCAAAGCAGGCCTGGATGCATTGGGGCTACACCTCCCATAAACCCTGGTGGCTACGGCAGATGAAGGTTGTAATCTAAAAATCTGGGCTCATTATTAGCCTCCAGGCCATGAAAGAGGCAGGTTTGATGCAAGAGATTGGCTAAGTCCGGTGCAGTTAACTCCAAAGTGGGGTGGCGTCAGAGGGCCAGTCGCCCTTTGGGTGTGCAGCAAGGGCGTGTGGCCTTTGTACTGGTCCTTGAGAGGGATATGTAGAGTCCTCTCGGGTGAGAGGATACAGTCTTTGGAGATGTGTAAGTGGTCCTTGGAAGGAGCCTTGAGCGGGGCTGGGAATCGGCAGGCTGGGTCCAGGAGGTGGTGAACGCTTCCTTGAGCGATGCAGTGATCCAAGCCACAATCAAAGAAATGGAGGCAGGATCACCCCTGAAGAAGCATGCCAAGACCTGGGAGCGCTTTCAAATGATCTGTTTGTTCCTGACCTCTCCTTTCTGCCCGCTCGCTCTGCCTGCAGTGGCGTTGCCGATCCTTTGTCCAAGTGCAGCCCTGATGCCAGTCCCGCCACCCTCCCAGTCAGCTGGCGGAGGAAGGGGAAGGACTTGGTTTTGTGCTTGGGCCCCTCAAGTGCTCACAGCACCTGCCAGGATGAAGGCAGAACAAGCCTCCACTTCCCCATTTGCACCCACTGGAGCGGGAAGTGAGATGGGAGCTGGCTTGCCTTTGCCATCCCAGAAGCACAGGCGTCTTTCCCCTTCCTTCCCCCAATTATCTGGGGTTGGCAGTGTTATATTTTCCCTGGGACTAAAGAGAAGCAGCTTGAGACCTGGCAGAAGGTTAGGGGTAAGACCTCTTTCCTTTAGAACAGGGACGCATGACCTGTACCATCCAGGGTGCCACATGTTAGGCTGAGTTAGGGGCTGCACCCCCCCCCCCTCCAGTACAGATTGCTTGTTCTTTGTTGCTAGCAGCATCAGGGAAAGAGGGATCTGTATGAGGATCTCCAGTGGACTAAATAAAAGGTAAAGGCAGGGGAGAATTCAATGGGCCTGGTGGGATCAGGGCACCCATAGTGTGTGCAGGAAAGACCTTGGCAGGCTGTTTTAGCGGGAAGAGGTTGTGGTGACTGATCTTTGGCAGGTCACTAATCCGTTGAATCCTGTTTAAAAGAACAGAATCGCGTGTTCCACAATGCCTGCTTTATAAGAAGAGCTTCACCGAGGCCTTTGTCAGGTTTCCCATCACTGGGGGTAGCTAGGGTGGCTACTGGAGAAAGGGGCTTGTAGAGGGAGGTAGTGGCTCAGTGAACCCAAATCGAAAAAATGCAAATGCATTACAGAACCCTCTATTCGAACGTTCCCATAAACACTTACCCTCTTTGCATCCATCCCTGAATTTTGCCTAACAAGGTAATTGAGAACTTACTGATTTTATCTCAGTTCCGCCCAACAGCTGAAGCTTTTAGGCACTGAGCAGCGATTAATAAAGACTATTTAAATAAAATGTAAACTAAAACAATTAAAATATAAAATTACACAAACCATTTAAAACTACATTTTAGCATCTTAAACAAAGGTCTCCTAGACCTGCTGAAAAAACAACTGATAATTCCCTCCTTCCTGTGTGGTTTTTTGGAGTCAGTAAAAAGATCCGGTGGCAAAAAGATAGGAAGGTGGGTCAGGTGGGAGTCGTAGAGAGATTATTCTATCATTTGGGGGCTACCACAGAGAT